TCAGATCAGGGATGATATTATAATATTGATGGCTATCTTACCGTTGACGGTGCCTGCATGATAATTACATGATAAGATCGGCTGGTGTTTTATGCCGTATGATAAAAGCTCACACCATATGATGAGGACTCGCAATCTCGCCCATGATTCCAATGACAAGACATTCATTGTGAATATTATATAGTACATGATGTAGCATTATGCGAGGTTAAACCGATGAACGAGGATAATACACGAGAGCAGCAGCAGTAGACGAGCGCAGGCGCAGGAAGTACAAAGAAAGAATAAAGTGTATAGACCGTGAAGCGACAGTTGGAAGGGAGCAAGAAAAAAAACATACGTTAGGGCGAACACAAGCCCGGGACAAACAATCTCTGGGAAGGGAGGGGACGTGAGCGAAATGAAGCAGTGATACACTGATATAACATACCTAGTTGCCAGTCTTCTTCGCCGGTTGTTTTCCCCCTGTACTAATCCTGGCACTCTTTGCCCTGGTTTGAATGGCAGGCTTTGGCACCGGCGCTGGATCTTCTTCAATTGAGTAGAGGTCGGACTCGATAGCGCTCGCTGGTGCCTTGCTACCGGAGGACGTGGGTGTTAGAAGTTGTGGTATATTAGACCCCATACGCAGTAGTACATGCGGATGGGGGAAAGCGAGGCGAGAGGTCGCCCATATATACATGTCGGCGACCCCATGCATTCCAACCTTTATCCCTTCACGTTGTCCCGCTTCTCTGCTTCTCTACCTCTCCTGAGCATCCCGAGCTGTCCTCTATCCGCTTCTCTGCTTCTCCCGAGCATCCCGAACCATCCTCTGTCCGCTTCTCCGCTTCTCCCGAGCATCCCGAGCCATCCACCAGACCAACGCCGGAGCGGTGTACAATCTCACTCCGACAGAGAGCGGTGATACCAGCAATGAAGAAGGAGACCCAGCATAGCTTGCTGAAGCAGAGACTGCAGCACGTACAGATCAAGAGCTTTTTTTGGGTGAAGACGAGGCTCTCACCAACGCAACCGGGTTCGCATCATTGTAAAGGTCAGCGGGTATTCGAATCTCTACCGTTTTTATTGTTCGTTAGTGTTCGTGTCTACCTAAAGCGGTGGCTGCCATATGCAGTTGAAGTTATCGCTCAATGATAATTTTGTTTCTGAAATGGTCTCCGTATTTTATATTCGACTAACAAATGTACGAGCAAGATCATCAATTTTGATCAATGGTAAAGTGTCCGCGACATGGTGTTCGGCCGAAATTCACTGCCACACCATAAGGATATGTTCACTCAATGGGAATGCGTCACCATTCGTGATCA